GACAGAACAGAAGCACCAGAAGGGAGCCCATACATATATAGTCAACTAATCTCTGACAAGACAACGGAAAACAATTCAGGAAAAAAAGCTTCTGTATAGTAAACGAAACAATTAAAAAGTGAAGAAGCAACTAATGAAATAGGAGAAAATTTTTGCACACTATACATGTGATAGGGGACCAATATCCAGGATTTACAAAGTCCTTCAGAAATCCAGGGACAGTTAAAAAAAAAAAAAAACCTGTGAAAAAATGGGCAAAGGAAATGAACAGACATTTATCAAAAGAACAGATCCAAATGGCTAACAGACATATGAAAAGATGCCCAGGCTCCCTAGCCATCAGAGAGATACAAATGAAAACCACATTCAGGTTACCACCTAACTCCAGTCAGATTGGGCAAGGGGAAATCCCAGACTCTACGGTATTGTACCTTCAAATTCAAAATCAAAACAAATTCAAATCAATTTACATATCCCTATACCAACAAAACTGTATATTGAAAAATAATAAAAATAATAATGTTAATTCAAAAATAATCTCAATTATTATAAAAGAGCATAATGTTGGTATTTATAAAATAAATTACAGTAAATGTTTTCACACATATCTTAATTTTTCAAGATCTATAATTATTTTTCACAGAATAAAAGATATTTCACTTTGCATAGTTAATGTTTTACTTAAAGCATGTTTATCAACAGCTAAATCTTGCAAAAGGTAAACAATTGGAAATAGTTTACTATTATATTATTTCTTTAAAAACATTGATAATGGAGTTGAAATGTGTTTGAAATGCAAAATATCATTTTGGGTTACACACAAGAAAATAGCTGTGATTTCTTTTCTTGCTGCTATATTCACATATATATATGGAAACCTCCAGAAAATATCATGCTATAGGACAATAAATGCATGGTAAAATGATATTTTTAAAAATTATCTTAAACTAAAATATTTAGATTTTAGTAAATATAAGTACTATTGAAACTACTCTTTTACTCCAAAGAGAGGATTTCCATTTTAATCTTCATCTCATAAGATTTTACTGTGGTGTTTGTTTATACGTTTTGGCTTCCAAAGATAAAATAGTCATCATTAAAAATATTATGGGAAATATTTCTAAAAGCCAAAGCAGTGAAGCAAACACCAGGAAATAAAGGAAATATTGGCAAATAAATATCAAGAATACTTGTCATACAACTAAGAGTTATCTACCCAGAGCTATTCACCCAGTACACTTGGGTACACGTATTTCATTTGCAATTTGTCAATAGAATTAAAAACTTTAGGACTATTCTATTCTCACTTAACCTGAATATTATTAAATATTATTTAATATTTAATGTTTACAACAATTTTTGTTTATAACTAATAATAACCTATGGATTTTATTTTGAAAATGATTAAACAGTTCCGCTGTCAGATTATTTTAAAAGCCTATGTAATAAGTCCATAGAAAGATGTTTTTAGCTTAAGTCACTTTCAGCAAATAAGCCCATTCCAGATCATCAAACCAACAAGGAACATGCTATCAATGGTGTCTGCATAAATGCTTTACCTCTAAACCCAGTAAATTATTTCCCAGGAATCTAAAACATATTAAAAGTTTCACTAGAGGGGCCCGGCGTGGTGGCGCAAGTGGTTAAGGTCCTCACCTAGCACGCCCGGGATCCCATATGGGCGCCGGTTCTAATCCCGGCAGCCCCGCTTCCCTTCCAGCTCCCTGCCTGTGGCCTGGGAAAGCAGTCGAGGACGGCCCAAAGCTTTGGGACCCTGCACCCGCGTGGGAGACCCGGAAGAGGCTCCTGGCTTCGGACCGGCATAGTATCGGCCCGTCGCGCTCACTTGGGGAGTGAATCATCGGACGGAAGATCTTCCTCTCTGTCTCTCCTCTCTGTATATCCGCCTTTCCAATGAAAAAATAATAAAAATAAATCTTTAAAAAAAAAAAAAAAAAAAAAAAAAAAGTTTCACTAGAGAAAGAATAATGGACCACAAACTGAGTTACCAATAAAAATTATCATCTTTGTTATCTAAATGTGAATGTCGAGTCATTACATATTCTTTAAATATGAGTAAGTTATTTAACCTCTTCCCAACACATTTTTCCCTTTTGAAAGTTGGTTAACACATACTTAATTATTGTAACTACTGAATATGGTAAATGCATTGAAATTTTTAAATGAATGTACACTTTTTAATGCTGCAATTGATATCTTAATAAAAATGCTTAAAAATACATTAAAATGCATATTATGAAAAACTAGATATATGGATATCATTTTTTTTTGCTCCAATATAAAGCTATCTTTAAAATATTTTTTTAAAAAATGAGATCCAGAGGCTGGCATGCTGTCTCAACAGGCTAATCTTCCGCATACAAGTGCCAGCATCTCATTTGGGCATTGGTTCATTTCCCACTTGCCCACTTCCCAATCAGTTCCCTATTTATGTCCTGGGAAAGCAGCAGCAGAAGGTCTAAAGCCTTGGGATCCTGTACCTACACGAGAGACCAGGAAGAAGCTTCTGGCTCCTAGATTTGGATCAGCTCAGCTCCAGTCACTGCAAACGCTTGGGGAGTGAACTAGGGAATGAAAACTCTCTGTCTCCCTCTCCTTCTCTAAATCTACTTTTCAAATAAAAACACATAAATCTTTTTAAAAAAAATAACATGAGATCTGCACAGTTATTTCATAATCTGCATTTTCCTTTAAATTTTGAAAACCCTTGGCATATATTAACTGCAAAAGAACATTCCTAAGTCTGTAGGCTCATTTACATTAGGCTCATTTACATAACAAAGCAATAGGCGCAGTAGTTCATTTTTACTACAAGAAGATAAAACAAAATATTTTTATTGAACATTTATTGCTGGTAAGATGGTAAGACCATCACCCTTCCTGGAACATTATGATAATGTTAATTGTATCACGATTAAGAGGTGGGGGGAAATCCGACTGGTTAGTGCCTCCATGATTTGAGCAGTTATACCTGTTGGGCTACTTCAATGTAAACTCTGTTTCCTGTCTAACAGGGAAAGGGTAAGAATGGCTAACACACTGATGGAGTCCTGCAAATTAAGGTGACTAGATGAAACACACAGACTACCAAAATGGTGCATCAACATGAAGTGGCTGCTGGTGGCTGACCTTGCTTGATTATACATTTCCCTGTCCAGAATGGCAGTAATGTGCATTTTCACTTGTACCATATCATGTTACAACTCCATGGGAATGAAGGGGAAGGATGTCTTTTGTTTCACTGGGCTGAAAAGGGAACTTAAAGCTCTGAGATTTATTTCATGCAATCTTTCAGAGACATGCCTTTTTGCCAGCATCTGAAGCAGTGTTTGGTTAGTTTTCAACTAAACATCAAGAGTATAATCTCATTCATACAGACACTGTGCTTTGCAATGTTTTGAATCATATGCACCCAAGTCAATTTTAATATACCCACCTCCTCTTCTTACAATTCCATGTGTCACTAACAATAAAATACACCTTCAGGCGTCCAGGTGTCACTTAATTCTGCCTCAATCACCTATTTTCTTGCAGCTAGCAAGTGGCCACAGCATTGAACACATTTATTATGCTCAGGAGTACCCTGCAGGCATCATGTAATGGCCATGGCTTGTGACAAAGGACATGACCTTTCTATCTGACCCAGCTGGATGGCTCACCAGCCATGACTGAACCACCCACATATCAACGGCTTCTTAGTGGACCCTCAGCATGCCAAGTTCTATGAATATTAGTTATATCTTGAGAAACTCTAAGTGTGAAAAAATAAAAGATTATCGAGTGGTTCAGCTTACACTCATAAACACAGAGCCATGTGCATGTTCTAGCAGTATAGAATGCAGACAATCCTCAGTGATTATATACACACACATAAACACAATGCCACCAGCAAACCATTTCCCCAGCATTCCTCTGAAAGTCGATTTTAAAACACTTGTCACTCTAAGTATTCACTTTTGTGTTAATGTTTCAAACTATTGCTTGTTTTTAAAAAAAGCCTTCATTTCCTATTTTATCTCTGATATTAACACTCTTATCAGCATTTAGCACTGTGACATCAAGTGACAAAAGGCGTATGTAGTGTTTTCCCAAGAACAAAACAAAAACAGTATTTGCTATGGCTTATCCTCTCCTTTTCCACCTATGGGGCAGCCATAAGCAGAAAGCTTGGCCACCCATTAATTTTCATCTCCTTTCCAAGTCCAAACAATGATACAATGGGAAACCACAGCTGTTCCCTATGCTGGACTTGGAAGGTTCACCTCTATCCCAGGCACAGAATTTGACTTTGACTTGACCAGCGTCGTCCTGCAGCCCGTGTCTCTGCTCTGCAACTTATCATTGGGTTCTCCAGCATAATAACAACATCCGGAAAACATTACTGGGTGAGGTGGATGGATGGATGGATGGATGGATGGATGGAAGGAAGGAATAGATAGATAATGGCAGATATGTATATATCACAGGTCTATGGAGAGGACAACATTTAGACATGGGACCTGAGGACAGGTTCCATTCAGATCTCGGAGCTGAGCTGAACTAGACAGACACACACACACTCAGGTGCAAACCTCACTCGGGAGGGGGAGGGGCAGGAACGGCGAGCAGAGGTTAAACCAGACACCAGCCAAAACAAACACACTTCCAGAACTTTGGGTTTGGGCGGCTTCAGAGAGCTGGCAATGGCCGGAGAAGCAGAGATGGTACTAGTTCGTATTAGAGGAAAAAGACGGGAAGAGCTCCCAGCACGGGATGAGGGGGTGAGCTGCGGAGGAGGCTGGTGTCCCCTAGAGACAAGGGCGTCGCCGCCAGCCCCAGCTGCTTGCGAGGCCCCTGAGATCTGGATTAGGCCTCCTGATCTCTAGAAGCAACCCTATCTTCGCACTCGCATCCTTGCACACACACACTCACACACACCCACCCATTTCCAGAGGCACTCTCCTCACAGACCTCCAGCGACAAGACGGGCGAAGACGTACCTGGTGCAGCGTCTCAGCGGGCAGCTGCGACGCCCTGAACAGGTCAGCCACGGGACCAGCAGCCGCAGTGGCGGCTCCTGGAACGACCCTGGCGGCCTCGGGGGGCCCGGTCCCGGGGCCCCCGGTCGCAGCGCCCGCACAGCGTGCGAAGAGCTCCGAGTAGCACTGCTGCTCGCTCTCGCTCAGCAGCAGCGGCAGCGGCGGCCCAGAGCCGCAGCCTCCGCCTGCGGCTGCCTCCATGAAGCCTGCAAGTGGGCCCAAACGAGCACTGACCCCGACTAAGGTGCAGGCGTCGCCGCGCCACCGCCACAGCCGCCGCCTTGGCCTTGGCCGCCGCCGCCCCCACGCCTCGCAGCTGCCGCGCGGCGGCTTCCTCCCGGCTCGCACCGGCCCCGCCCCCGGGCTTGAATGTTGTGCCTCTGCCGCGCGGCACATGGAGACAGGCGCGGCGCCGACCAATGGCAACCTGGGATCCCACTCAGGCCCCGCCTCGTAGCAGGCCCAGCCCCGCCCCTCGCCAGGTAACTACCTCTGTGCGCCCTCAACCCACCTGCGGGCACTGCCAGGTGGGAGACCTGGGAAACCTGGGAGACCTGGGTCCTACTGTTTTCCAAGCCCTCCAAGCACCAGATGGGAGTCTTTGGTTCTTCCCCATGGCTGGCAAGGAAGCCTCCAGACCCACCTGCAGATTACTGATTTTCAGGGACTTATGTGCTGAAAGCCAGATAACAGAGCTGTCCATACATACACTGTTCCAGAGCACGCAGAGCAGTGATAGAGTTAGACCACTTTCTTACCACAGATACGGCTCCAATCTGGAGTTGAGATTCAGGGAATAACACTGACCACTATGAAACACTGTAGTAATTGCAGGGGTTTTTTTAAGCTCTTACTGTATATCATTTGATCTAACCTCTGATTTTACACATGAAAAATCTATTGAGTTCATCTCCATCCATTCAATACACTATGTCTCTACTATACTATGTAGATTTATATGCTAGGGGCTGAAAATACATGATTCAGTAAGACAGGGTCAACACCAAAAGGAGCACTTTTGGTAGGAAAACAGGCATGCTTTAAAAAAAAATACATATTTGTCCAACTTCATAGCAAATAGCAATACTAGGACCCGCATCAGTACTAGACCCCCATCAGTACTAGACCCCCATCAGTACTAGACCCCCATCAGTAGTAGGATCCGCGTCAGTACCAGGACCCCCATCAGTACTAGACCCCCATCAGTACAAGGACCTGCATCAGTAGTAGACCCACATCAGTACTAGGACCTGCACCGGTACTAGATCCAAAGCAGTACTAGAACCCGCATCAGTACTCGACCCATATCAGTACCAGGACCCACATTGTCACATTCCCAGCTATTTGCCCTCCCCCTCCCTGCTCCTCCAGCCCCATTCCTCTCTATTCTAAACCATACACAATGAATTTTTTTCCAATGTGCTCCCTTCCCCCCTCCACCCCGCCAGTGTTCTAGCCACTTTGAAAAGAAAGTTCAGAAAGGCAATCCCATAAAGAAAAATGCTTGCCCCACCACAGCACTGAATGTCCCAGCATCAAGCCTGCATCTCTCTTGCAAAAGAAGAGAGCTGTGCAAATTAACATCCCTGGAAAGAGCTGCACAAATTAATTTATCTAGCAACCCTAGGAAGCACTAACCCAAAGGTAAAAGAATTAGGAGCAGGTGTTTGGCGCAGCAGTTAAAACGCTGCTTGGGAATGCCAAATTCCTTAGCAGTGTGCCTGGTTTGAGTCCCAGGTGCTCCACCTGGGATCCAGTTTCCAGATCATGTGCACCCTGGGAGGCTCCTGTCGCCCATGTGGGAAACCTGGATTGAATTCCTGGAGCTGCAGTGTAGCCGAGCCCCAGCTCTTACGAGCCTTTGGGAAATGAAGCACCAGATGAAAAATCTCTCCCTCACTCTCCCTTTCCTCCCTCCTTTTTGCTGGCTTTCAAATAAGATGAAAAACTATTTTTTATGATTTATTTTTTATTTGCAAGGCATATTTACACAGAGAAGCAGAGACAGAGAGGAATATCTTCTGTCTGCTGGTTCACAATGGCCGGAGCTGAGCCGATCCAAAGCTAGGAGCCAGGAGCCTCTTCCGGGTCTCCCACACAGGTGCAGGGTCCCAAGGCTTTGGGCCGTCCTCTATTGCTTTCTCAGGCCACAGGCAAGGAGCTGGATGGGAAGTGTGGCAGCTAGGACACAAATTGGTGCCCATATGGGATGTCAGTGGTTGCAAGGCAAGGACTTTAGCCACTAGGCTGGGTCCAAAAAGAATTTTTAAAAAAGAAAAAGTGTTGATCCAGAATTAAGAACTAATAAAAAATACATTTTTGGAACTTGGTTAAATAAAGAGAGCTTGTTTTGTATAAGACTTCCATATAAATTTGGTTTTAATCCAAAACAAAACAAAAAATCTCAAGAAATACCACTGATGATAGCAAACACACTGATGCTAAGGTCAATTGAAATAAGAATCAAGAACAGGAAGATGAGAAAAGTAAAAAGTGAAATGGTAAAGACAAAAGAAGAAAGAAAGGCAAAGAGAGAAATCTAAGAAGGAAAAAGAAGAATTATGTCAACATCAATCATGCCCAGCTAATAGACAGGTAATATTTTCCTTTGAGAATCTGAGAAAACAAAACAGAGACCAGGTACGTTTTCACTAAACTTCCCTCACAGCACCTGTTACTCCGGAACTGCCAAGAGAGAACTGAGACAGCACTGGCTCTTGGGACATAAGTACAAAAAGGATAGATAAATTAAGAGCAACAGAGACTAAGTTCACTTGGAACTTTCCAGTTCAAAATCTCACTGCTGTGTATTTATAGTAGCTTGTACATCTCGGGAAAATGGGAAGCCAGAAAATAACATTTGTTCTTATTTCACCTTGCCAGTTGTAGTCAAGGTTTCCCTGAGAACAGCTCACCATTCTAACAGAGGTCGGCAAGGGATCCACCGACTTATGTGAGAAACAGCAAATGGTACTTCCCTTGTGGCCCCAGCAAGAAGAAGCAGGAGGCATAAGATTTCTTAACATTCATATGGGAACAAGAGCTACACAGCTTTTCAAAACACTTCCATGTGCATGATTTCATTGAAACCTCGTAGTAACTCTGAGGTCAGCTGGAAAACCATTTTTTATTTCCACTTTGAAGATAAGAAAATGCAGAGACAGTGATTTGCACAACTAAATACTAGATTTGAAGTTAATCTCCATTGCCCAATTCAATTTAACAAATTTGACAGATGTTTAGCTCCCACCAGATACTAAAAATGGGTATAAGTCTCATATCAAGTCATCCATCAATCCATCTGTGAGACAAGCAACATTTATTGGTAGGACAATGAGTATTTACTATCTCTACAAAGTACTGTGAGGTCTAAAAACTCACATTCCATGTGTGGCTTTAAAAGAGGGATGCAGGGACACTGGAAAAGACAGAAGTAACACAACAAATAAAAACAAATCAAAGATAACATATAATTGTGTATTAGAGGTAAATGCTGTGGGAGTTTAGAGAAGATAGAAAATCCATGAGCCAGAGCTCACCCAGGCAGGCATGATGAGGGGCTCCTGAGACAGGTGTTGACTGGGTCTGGGTGGGACGGGGAGGGGAAAAAAGACAGGACAGAGAGGAAGCTCGTGGGAGGGGGAGGAGCCCCAGGGACTTGGCACAGAGGAAGCGATGAACAAGGAGCAGCAGGCTGGGTCAGGAGGGAGGGCCACCTCGGAAGTTCTCCAGGATATAGGAGGGGAGCTGCTAGGCAAAAGATGTGGGGCACAGCCAGAAAGGACCCAGCAGCAGCTGGGCTTAACCCTGGGACACAGGAAGCAAGCCTGGCGTCTATAAAAACATTTTCATGGCTAAGGAATGCCAAGTGCTAGTTTTTATTTGTCCAACAGAAATAGTTTTGAAACTTCAAGATAAATACAAGTTAAAATGTAGACACTAGAAACACTCCTATCCCCTAAGGTTGACAGCACACAAGAACCTTTCAGGAGAGAATTTTGTATATATTTTTTTAAAGATTTATTTTTATTATTATTATTATTTTATCGGAAAGGGGGATATACAGAGAGGAGAGACAGAAAGGAAGATCCTCCGTCCGATGTTCACTCCCAAAGTGAGCGCAACGGCCATTGCTATGCTGATCTGAACCCAGGAGCCTCTTCCGGGTCTCCCACGTGGGTGCAGGGTCCCAAAGCTTTGGGCCATCCTCGACTGCTTTCCCGGGCCACAGGCAGGGAGCTGGAAGGGAAGCAGGGCTGCCGGGATTAGAACCGGCACCCATATGGGATCCCGGGCATGAAAGGCGAGGACCTTAACCACTTGCGCCACCGTGCCGGGCCCCGAGAATTTTGTATATTTTTAAGGCTTACACATTTATTTCGGTTCTGCCACAGTAAGACTAGCCAGAATGATCCCTTTCTTGGGGATAGCCAAGGGACCATCGGTAAGCTATGCTTTTTTTTTTAAATCAAGTACCTGTGTACTATAGGAAGATGACAAGTTAACAAATTCAGACACTGGAACTGGTTACCTATAGGGAAGAGATTTAAAAGCACATGTCTACAAGCCAGCAACAAACCAGTCACTGCCTAATTTCCTATGGCTTATCAGCTAAGAATGAGTTTCACACATTTTAATCATTGAAAAAGCACTGATTTCTGTACACTGAAAAATATGTCATGTGCAGTGCTCAACCAGCCTAGTTCTTAAGTTCATATTGGATTTGTGTGGGTTCCATTTTCAGGCCCAGCCCCTGGACTCCTGCTTCGTGTCAATGCAGATCCCAGGAGGCAGAGGCAGCAGTGATGGCACAATTAAAGGCTTCCTGCCCGCCACCTAGGAGACCTGCACTGAGTCCCGGGCTCCAGTCTGGACTTGTACTCACACCCAACTGTCGTGAACAATTGGGGGTAAACAAGACTGTGAGTGCTGTCTTGGTCTCCGTCTCTGTCTCTCACTGCCTCTGTCTCTACCTCTCTTAAATAACTTTTAAAGCACACTTCATGACACTTTAAAATTATATGAAATTCACATTTCAGTGTTCATAAGTAAAGTTTTATTGGCACAAAGCCACAATCATTCATTCATATAGTATCTATGGAAGTTCTAGCACTACGAGAGCTGGGCTGATTATTGACAGACACTGCATGTAAGCAGTTACTTAAGTAACATTCACTACCTAATCCTTTACATAAAATAAT